TTCTGACCCATTTCTCTTCAGTGTTCCCTCTCTTATCGTTCATATTCCACCCCGTGTCTTGTGCTTTCTCCTCTAACTATTCCTGATTCAGCTAGAGACCTGTCTCAAAAACTAACGTGGAGAAACAACCAAAGGGAAAAACGACTGATAATGACCTCTGCACCCCCCCCCCACACACACAGGGGGTGGGGGGGGGAGAAAGGCTATTTTCCTTCCTGGAGGGAAGGGATAGAATATTTTTGGCTGAATGGGTGTTAACAGCTATGAAAGCAGCCAACACTGGCATCTATTTGGGCATAAATCCCTTAAAAGAACAAAGTCTTTTTGTTTGTTTGTTTGTTTGTTTTTAGAGACAGGGTTTCTCTGTGTAGCCCTGGCTGCCCTGGAACTCACTCTGTAGACCAGGCTGGCCTCGAACTCAGAAATCTGCCTGCCTCTGCCTCCCAAGTGCTGGGGTTAAAGGCGTGCACCACCACTGTCCAGCTAAGAACAAAGTCTTAAATAACTCTTCAGAGGAAGCCTCCAGATCTACTGAAGGACAATTTGGAGTCAGTAGAACACAATAGCGAACTACAGAAGAGTAGGAAATGTGAAGAAACACGCCACCTAACAAGCAGGCATCTGCCAGACAGGATGCTGCACTCCTGTGGTGCCCTAGTCCCTGCACATTGAAGTAAGAAGGTTGTGAGTTTGAGGCCAGCCTGGGCTACATAGAGAAACCTTGACTAAAACAAAACAAAACAAAACCAAGCAGCACTGCTTTCTCCTGTGAAGCCCATTGCCTTCAGCCTCTGCGGTAAAAGAACTGAGCTCCTGTTTTTCTTTTTACAAACCTGAGGGCAAGTAGAACATCTTTGAGGACACCACACCCATGAAATGCACACTGAAAGCAGGTCAAGTTTATCTCAATGAAGCAGTTAGCCCTGAGACAAGGTGCAGTCAGACGACTGTGCCTGTCCATGTCAGCAGAGTGCACTAGTGCCTGTCCATGCCAGCAGGGTGCACTAGTGCCTGTCCATGTCAGCAGGGTGCACTAGTGCCTGTCCATGTCAGCAGGGTGCACTAGTGCCTGTCCATTTCAGCAGGGTGCACTAGTGCCTGTCCATTTCAGCAGGGTGCACTAGTGATTGCCACAGGCCTAGTCTCTGTTAGTTACTTTTCTCACGGCTGTGACCAAATACCTGGCAGAAAGCGACTTAAAGGAAAAAGAGTTTATCTGGTTTACAGTCTGAGAGGAGACAGTTCACCATGGTGGGTAAGGCATGGAGAGCTGGCTCTGGGACTGCAAGAATTTGTGGCGGCTGCTTGCTGGCATCTCAATGGAACAGAAAACAGGAAGAGCAGAAAGCAGCCAGTGGTTAACTCTTTCCTCTTCCCCTCCTCATTTAGGCTGATACTACTGGGACAGAACCACCCATATTCAGAGAGTATGTTCAGCCTTCAGTTAATACAAGAAATATCAACAGATACCTAAAAAAAAATATGCCTCACCAAACACCATAAAAGCAACTAATCTAGTTGGGGTGACAAACATACCTTCCATTGCATCATGTCATCCCTCATCCTTGCTGCCCCTACAAAGATGGCTACCCACGGGCAAGAGCTTTCAATTCTTTTTCTCATTTGTGCCCGTCTCCCAGTAATATATTGCACACGGTAGTCACGCCAAACGTTTGTGAAATGAATTAATTTAAAAAACATCCAAGTCTCCACCATAATGGGCTTTCCACTGTGGCACCAGTGGACTCAGCCTGCCTGGCTAATAAGCACAGCTGCGGACAGGGTCCACAGTGGGTTGGCCAGCAAAGAAGCTTCCAGCCCAGGTCCAGCTGGATTTTTCTGTGTCCTTCAACTATCTTTGCAACTCCGCTCAATGGCTGAGATTTTGTCAATCGAAAAAACAAACAAACAAACAAACAAACAAACAAACTGGCAAAGAAGCCCCCAAGATCCTGAGACAGTGGCAAAATAGGACTGCACAGCCCTGATAATTACAACTGTATCACCATGTGGCCATTTATTGTTTTGGGTTTTTTTTGGGCGGGAGGGGTGTGTGTGCTGAATTGTTTCATTTTTTTGAAACAGATTTCTCACCTGGCCTTGAATTTACCTGTCTCCTCTTCAAGAGTGCTGGGACTACAGGTTTCTGCCACCATGCCTGGCTGTACAGGACTTTGGTACATGGACAGAAACTAAGAATTACATAGGAGTGATGTTATCATGATCAAGAAGATACAAGTTATTAATTAATTTTTAAAAAGCAGCCATTTTGGGGTAAGTTTGGATCCAGTCATCTTTCTATATATAAATTCTATGTAGGTAAATCAAATACTTAAAAAAAAAAAAAAAACCTAAACACTTGAAGCAATGACACTACTACAGCATGGAGCAATGCTAGAATGTAGTTTGGTTACTAAATGTTACTTCCTGCTTTAAAGGCTGAAGCCTCACTGAAGAAATGGCTGGTTGCCATTTCTCACAATAGCCAGCCACAGCTGAAATGTGAATGGTCCCCAGCTGGAGGCATTGTTTCGGGCGGTTGTAGAACATTCTGGATATGGGGTGTAGTTGGCACTTGGGACAATGCAAGCAGGGCTAGAGGACTACAGCGTGTCCAGTTCCTGCCAGCTGGGGTTGTCTGTCTTGACTGCCTCACTCAGGACTTAGCTACTTCCCACGCCTGCCACAGCCACAAGCTGTCATGAAGTCTTCCACACCTTCCCCACTACAACTCACAATCACTCTCTCAAACCACAAAAGAAATCCTTCCTCTCTCTAGTTGTTTCTTCTCTTATTTTATCATAGTGGAAAGAAAAGCAACTATTAATTTTAGAAACAATAATATTTAAACTATGCCCATTTGTAAGACTTTTAGTGTGTGTGTCTGTGATGGTTTGTACATGCTGAGCCCAGGGAGTGGCACTATTAGAGGGTGTGGCCTTGTTGGAGTAGGTGTGGCTTTGTTGGAGTAGATGTGTCACTGTGGCTTTAAGACCCTCATCTTAGCTGCCTGGAAGCTAGTATTCCACTAGCAGCCTTCAGATGAAGATGTAGAACTCTCAGCTTTGCCTGTACCATGCCTGTCTAGATGCTGCCATGCTCCCACTTTGATGATAATAGACTGAACCTCTGAACCTATAAGCCAGTCCAAACTAAATGTTGTCCATTATAAGACTTGCCTTGGTCATGGTGTCTGTTCACAGCAGTAAAACCCTAACTAAGACAGTGTCTATGTGTGTAGGCCATGTATTTGTAGGTACCTGAGAAATCCAGAACCCCTGGAGCTGTTGTGAGCTGTTTGACATGGGTTGCTGGAAACTGGACAAGTGTCTCTAGTCCCAACATTGCTAAATTCTATATGCATTCCTAGTCAATGCTTGCAGCTTCAGAGTCCTAACACATACCTATGAATCAGAAACTGAGATGGGCTTCAGAGTCCACTTAGCTTCTGAAAGCTGCTTTCAGCCACACATCCCACTGTTGCCTTGCATGGGAACATTTCACTCTCCTAGAAAGAGCTGGACTAACACTGTTCACTGTAACACCAGGCTTCCTGTTTTCTCTTAGGGTATCAAGTACATAATGTTCAGTCTTTGAGTTAACCACTCAAGACTGTAGGCTGTCTTTCTTCTAGACAGAATTCCTGAAGGGTTGTATATTCACCTGAGTCATGCTAACACCTAGGATTTGTATGTGACAAAGTAAAGACAATAATTTATTAGACATTTTTGTCTGGTAAATATGGGAAGTGATGTCCTTAAAACTTCAGGGTGTCTAATTTTTATTGCAATATGATACTCTCACCCACAAAATGTGGAGAGCTGTGGTCATAACCTACCCTGGAGACATGAAGCCCACAGGCTGCAGGGTGGAAATACCCAAATGGTTATGTGGGTAATTCAGAATGGCCAGTTGGAATACTTTCGTAATTCTCAAGTTGACCTGCAAAAAAACTTCCTAAGAGGAGAGGCTCACCCCACACCCTTGCTCATCAGATGAACACTGACAGAGGGTGGGAGCAAGAAAACATGGCATCTTTTTTCTCACAGTTTCCCACACTGCATCTCACCCAGAAGACAGGTGTTCCAAACACTCCTAACGAAGCTGCCCATTTCTTGGTCTATGATTTTTCTTCTTTACACTGGCATTGGGTCAGTTCACCTTGAATGTATCTACTTGGTGGACCCGGGCTTCCACCTGCAAGCTGGTAATAGCACAGATACCATACCACCGACCAAGGGACTTCCACAACTTCATCACTCTCTACTGAACCTGTCCACCACAAGCTGGGGTTAATTATTCAGAAAGCATGTTTGTATATAAAAGGAACTTGTCAAACCTTAGAAAATGAAATGCTAAAACTTCGCTGTTGTGTTGAGGTAACGTATAAGACCCTTTGCCTACGCAAGGAAAAAGAAAGCACAGCCTGAGCCATATGATTTGTCTTATGTTTTCCCTGTTTAGACTTGCTTGTATGTACATGATTTCAAGGCTGGCTACTGGATAACCATTTTCTGGGCTCATCCCTGGGGCAGACTGATTCTCCTCTCCCAGCAATGATTAGTTTCCTGTAGTCCTACATCCTCTGGGGAGGTCCTGTGAGATCTTCCCCATCCATGTTGCCATGTTAACTGGTGCTGTAGTTGTTCAGGCCTTGTCAGGCAACCAACCATATTGTTGTGGTATGACAGGTGTGTAGCTTCCCTGTCATTAAGAAACACAAAATCAAAGCAGATTCCTGGTTCTCTGGCTCTTACAGCTGGTCCAGTCTTCCTGTCCATCCCACTTCGCTGTGTTCCCTGAGCCTCACATACAGGGACTGTAGCTGTGACAACTGGTAAGGGGCACTCTGTGCCCTCTGATTAGGGATGAGAGCTACACTCCTGGATCTGATAAGGATGAGGATTTAGCCTGCAGTTAGGAATCATGCTGATTCAGTAAAGTGACGATAACAGGTTCTCCTCTCAGATCCTCATTTGTTTTTCCCCAAAAGAAAAACATTCAAAGTAAAACATGAACATTTAATTGCCTTTAAATAATACATGAAATAATTTACATGCTATACATCCCAAAACACAATGAACATAAATCTAATTTTATGAGACATTTTCACAGACTTTTGCCAACATATGCCCTGTACATCACTCAGGATGTTATCTGTGTGTGAGCATGTAAACACATATATACATGTGAAGTTGAAGATCAGCATAATGAACCAAAAGATGACTAGGAAGTCTGCCACAGAAGTCTAAAACCATAACCTGACTGGAACCAAGGCACAAAAACCTGTTGTGGCCACAGAGATTAAGTTTCCTTTCTCAACGTTTAAACACTGTTCATTATACATTGTATTTTTTAGTATATTTTTGTTACTTTTAAAATGCAGTGTTTTTATTACATAAGGTCTTACAGAGGTGAATTGGAAAAATAAGGACTAGATAAAATCGCATACAATAAAGCTTTCCTTTTTTTTTTTCCAAAAAAGACACATATGTTCAAAACTAATATAAGAAATATTACAGATATAGGTGTAATCAGGAGATATATAAGATAACATACACAAATTTCGTAGTGCCCAGAACTGTACCTCACATCATCAATGGTATTAAACTTTGTTTGAGAGCCAGTTGGTAATACTGCCAGTTGCAAGTGATTTTTTAGAAAAAAAATATGTATGTCCCAGTGCACAGAATAACAATGAGCCTAACAAAGCAAAACAAACCCTTTTCTAGCATCAAAGCTGCTTTTGTTAGACATTAACTGGCTCCCTCAGTGCTCCCTTTTCTGCCACTTCTATACTAAGAGAAAAGAAATATGCTCCACATAAAAATGATTGCTTTAAAATTCGTAACCAAGCAAAATCTCCACTATCGGCACGTCCCTCTTTCCTTTACCTGAAAGTTTGTAGGCTGCTACATTCAAGTTACAAATGTATTTAGTACTCAGAACACTTTAGAGCTTTGCCACTTTAAACGTACAGTTATCAAAGGATTAAAGCCAACCACAGAGTAAGAATTAATAGACTGTAGTAAGCCGAAAGTAAATGCCAAGTGTACTTACACTAGCCTAAGAAATGAGTCCTCTAAGCTGTGAATAATGAACTGTCAGCTGCAGCTGAAACAAATGACAACAAGAACAAAGCCTTCGGTAGCACTAATTTTAAATATGGGTGGAGCTGGCTAATTACGAAGTAGCAGAGTACAGCTATGACTTTCCATGTAGGAGCACTGCAGTGTGCGGCTCCCAAGTAATGAGAGTGCAGTTCTTCCTATGAAATAAGGCTGATTAGAGGAGAGATCAAACATCCTGTCCTCGGCTATAAAGCCTACAGAATAAACTGAGAGTCTACTTTAAGGCTGTCTCAGAAGTTACTTTTCATGGCACTTCAATGTTAAAACATCACTAAATGGCAAAATACGCAGTCACACAGCTCCAGAACTGAAAGCACATGCCATGTCAGTCACTGAGAGTTCAGGCTGTCAGTCTGTATTCTCAGAGTTAAATTACACTTAAGGAAAGCTATTGAGCTTGGCTATATTAACATCTGAATCAACAGACTGTCAGCTCACCAGTACTGTGTAAATCATTTCCAGTAAGTGCACACTACATCACTCACTTCTACAGAAATGAGTAATGTTCTTGCTACAAATGGCACTTAGCTGACTTATTCCTCTCAAGAGCTGCTATGACCCTTTTCTCAGCTATTCACCTACTGCTAAGCCCCAAAGTCACTCAACAAACCCTCCTGCCCATGTGTACAGACCATCCTTACACCTATACATTTCTTACTCTACAGTCATCCAGGAAACACTGACGGAGGCTAACAAGTCATTCTGGCCACACCGTACTCCAAGCTGACCACAGTAGGCTCTGACTTAGAAAACTCCTCGGCATAGTCACAGTACCGATTATCTGCTGGGCTGCTGCCCTCTATAGCTCGGAGTGTGTCCTTCACCGGAAGCAGACTCTGCTCTTTCAGACACAGCGAGGTTTTCAGAGTAGGTGATTCAGGGTGAATGGCATGCAGCAAGTCCTTTGTTAGGATGCCATTTTTGCATTGCTTAATTTTCTAAAGCAAAACAAGACATTTAAAAAACATTAGTAACTACAGCTAACCAGTGATCGATCTACGTGGAGTGAAGAAAACATGGTTTCACAAGTGTTCCTCTTATGCATGATACACAATTATGAACTCAATAACTAAAAATTCCAAGAGCTTAAAGTTTATCAAAGAAAATGCTTCATTAAGTGTTTATGTTTGTCAATTGATTCAACCAGATTTGACTGTATAGGACACTAGGTCTTCACATGCCAGAAACATAGATATTCCTTAGGAAGCTTAACAAGTAATCATCTCATAAGGATGAGGACCCAGAGGATATGCTCAACCTGAATTCGCTATAACACAGCAATCACATCTAACTCAGCTGAAGCTCCCACTGGCCAGGAAGAGCTTCTCACAGGTGTCCCTCACTAAGGGTCGCCAAGTGAACAGATCAGCCTTTGGAAAGCAGCACATTTTTTTTTTTTTTACACATAATATTTAAAGTGTCCCTTGGCAAAGCATCACACTCTCCAAATCAACTCCAGACAATCGTCCCACACTGCCTATCCTGCCCTTCCTTTCTTTAACGCTAACATGTGCTCTCTTATCCAAGAGACAATGAAAAGCACCCATCTCTGAGGCAGACAGAACAGTTTCCTGAACAAAAAAGAACTGTCTGCATTAAAAAAAAAATATGTATACACACACACACTCGCACACACACACACAAAACAAAGCATAAAAATAATAGTAAGACAAAGAAGACAGAATAAGCCAAAGCTATTTGCAATAACCCTAACAGAGAATTAGTATCTAGTATGTAAGGAACCCTGACAAATCAAAAAAAAAAAAAAAAAAAAGGCAAACAGGCCAAGAAAAAAGTGAGCAAAATTTGGAAGTTTATTCTCAACAAACAAAAAGGAACTGCCCAATAAATTCTCTTCATCTGTAATCCAGAAACCCAAAATGGAAGACACTATCATATAGTAAATTAAATATGTTTTATTAGACAACTCAGGGTACTTACAGCCTCTAGGTCTTTAATGTCTTCCTCTAACTGCTTGTTTTGTTCACTCATATTCATAATTATGTTCAGTACAGACTGCCGAGGATGGAGCGTCCGATCAAACTGGTGGTACATGTTTCTCCAAAATCTATATGACAAAGAAGTTTAGGAAGTTTTTAACCAAAACACCTTTAGATGAATAGTGAGCTCTGGAGCTCCCAGCACAGCACAGTGACAGCTCACAAAGCCTATTCCAAGTTCTACAAACAACTGGAAGAGAGGAGCTCACACACAGTAACAAGGAGCAGACAGAAACACCAGCTGGTCTGTTCTGATCCCACACAAACTGTGCACAGGTTCCAAAATACCTTATTGTTCATAAACATACAGTTTGTCCATTAAAATTAAGAAAGCTTAAAAACATGGGTAATACTATCTTGATTTGCTCATTATTGAATACATGCATACAATGATCATAGTATACCCCATGAATATGTTTAATTAAAATAATGTTTTTAGGGACTGGAGAGACGGCTCGTGCTTAAGAACACTGGCTACTTTTCCAGAGGACCTGTGTTCAGTTCCCAGCACATACATGCATGCTCACAACCATCTGCAACTCCAGTTCCAAGGAATCTGATAGCCTCTTCTGCCCTCCATTAGCCACACACACACACACACACACACACACACACACACACACACACACACAGTGCACCCAGACAAACTCTCTTACAAATAATAATAATAATGATAGTAATAATAAAAACAAAGTTAATGTTATTTTTAAAAGTTCCTAAAATTTGTTTGAGAAAAATCACATGTAAATGCTTCAATGGCCAACTTACTTAAAATTGAAAGAGGCTGTATTTGGCTCCAAGACTGTCAATCTCTGAGATTTGGAACTGTAGAGAGGATTTAAGTACTTCTTTTTGTCATCCAAAAGAAAGGGCCACAGGGAGTAAGTCTTCTCCTTTAGCCTTAGGGAATAAGAACATAAAAGTCTTACCCAGCGATACTCAGTGCCCTGCTAATGCTATAGATCAGGTAGTTACTTCAGTGGCTTCTAGGGGAGACTCACCTCTCCTGCCTGTGTTCTGCTTTCTCTGCATTTTCTTTCTCATTTCTGACCATGTAATAAGTGTGTCTTGAGCACAACACAGGTCGAGCACTGTTTCTCACTTGTCCACTTAGGGACTCTCCTCATATCCCAGGACTGCCAAGCCTTGCAACAGAACACTGATCCAGTTGTTCTGCCTTATTCTCACAACCCCATGGTGGGCCATGAGGGCAACTACCACAGGACAGAAACACAGTTCAGTGGAAGAATTTGAAATGCCAGTCATGTGCTTGTCTAAAGACACACATCTGATGGACAGATTGCTACAGAGGAGGCATATCCACAGCAGGTAAGCCTAAAAGATGCTGTAGGTATGCGCAGTACCATATGCCCTAAGATGGTCCACAGGTATGTTCTAAGAAAGACTACTAAGAAACATCTATTTTTATTTTCCTCTTCACATTTTTTTGAGTTTGGTACTAATTGAGAAGTTTCTCCAAAAATAGATTCGTACCCCAAGAAAAGTCACCTGAACCAAATTATAGGAAGACATTGTTAGCCTCTCTACATGTCACTTGGAAGGTCTAGATTTACTGTTACTATAAGAAATCTAAACTCGCTGGGTGGTGGTGGCGCACGCCTTTAATCTCAGCACTTGGGAGGCAGAGGCAGGAGGATTTCTGAGTTCAAGAGTTCGAGGCTAGCCTGGTCTACAGAGTGAGTTCCAGGACAGCCAGGGCTACACAGAGAAACCCTGTCTCGAAAAAAAACAAAAAACAAACAAACAAAAAAAACAACAAAAAAAAAGAAATCTAAACTCAGAATCCAAACCCAAAACTAGAAGCTGGTATAAAGAACAGGTGGGGTCAAGTGCCACCGCACTTAGTGTCTGCATGAGACTCCATCAGGGACATCATGGAACAATGCCAGCAGGCTTGTCTGCCCCACAGGGAGGAGAGCTACAACTGCTGCCTTACCATAAGACAAACCCACTGATTTATACCTTCCATCGCTATAAAACTGATGACCAACACTTTCTGAGAAATAAATTATGTAAAAATTTCTCTCTTCTAAAATATACATTCAAATGGAAAAAGAGCGCCAAAACATTTAGGAAGCAGCATGGGGTTCTTGCTCTGGGAACTCCCCCCCCCCACCCCGTGTGTGTGTGTGTGTGTGTGTGTGTGTGTGTGTGTGTGTGTGTAATCCTACATGTACTCTTCTGGACACTATTATACTTCAAAATATATTTCAAAATAGAAAGGTGGCAGATATTAGTAGGGTACTTTAGCTTCAAAAATACAGACAAAAAACTCTAAAGTAAAATTCAATTCTCCCTGAACCCGTCAGGGCACTTCAGTGTACAGCCATGACTCACAGTGGGGAGGCTCAGTGGTGCAGAAGGGAAAGGCTCATTTCCTCATCACTTACCTGAGTTCCTCTCTTTCCTTCTGACAGTTGCCAAGGAAGTTCCCAAATTGGCATGAATGAATGTGCTCATGGATCTGAAGAAGAAACGCTTCGTTGAACTCAAAGGCTTGTGGGAACTGCTCAGTCAGATGCCATACACACTCCAAGAACTGAGTAAACACTGGTGAGACTTCCTTTGGGTCACCATCCAAATGGCCACACCTAAACCCCCAGAAAGCACAAGCTTTGAAAAATGCCTCCAAAAGAAGTTCATTGCTTAGGCATTGTAAACTTAAACCTATAAAACTCTACATACAGGTATTAATATGTAATGTGGACAATAAAAGTCCATGTGTAACCACCATTTTAATGGACTTCTGTAACCCCAGTCCTAAAGAAGGAGAAGCAGGAGGACCAGAAGTTCAAGGCCAGCCTTATTACAAGATGGAACATCAATGGCCATGAGAACTAACTAACAAAGGCATAAAGAGAAAGAAATAGCAGAGACATTAAGTCTAGCTTCATACAATACAGAGCTATAGTTCCCATACCACAGAGACATGTAAATTCCAACAAGGAGAAAGATGGTGGTACAGTATTATAAAGATTTAAATATATTATTGCCACTCACCTCTCTGAAAATTTATGCCCAAATGATATCCAATCTTTTTCTATTAAAACCTAGTGAGAAAAAGCAAAATCAACTATATAACTATTTTCAACTTTAAAAAATACAGTGACAATTCTACTAAGAACAGAAATAAAAAAAAAATAAAAAGACTACATTAAAAAAAAAAAAAGTAGGCAGAACCTTGATGAGAGTGAGGGTTACCAAGGAGTAAAAAGACACGAGAAGTGATCTCACAACAAATGATTCCTGCTGCACTCATTAAAGACACTCTTGGAAAGGCAGCATTACATTCTTGTACATACAAAAATAACATGGAAAAGCCAGCTGGACTCCAGCAATCAGAGGCTCAGGCAAGAGAATAAAGAATCAGAGACCAGACAGATTTCATGGGGAAGCCCTGTCCTCAAATAACTAAAATGCTAATAAGGACCATTTCTGTAGTACAGGGGCAGGTGTTTAAACCACTGGCATATTTGTAGATTGTTTATGTAAAGCATAAGAAAGACGGTAAGCAAGACCCTGTCTCTTGGAAAGCCAAACAAAGTCAATAAAAGAGCTCTTATTCAGATCCCAACACTGGCATCTTTGCATACGTAGTTCAGTTTTCCAGATCATGGCTTCTCTACTGACTAACTCCACCAAAGTAACACATCTTACTTTTCTTTCTCCTTTTTGTTTTTCTGAATCAACTTTTCAATATGAAACCCAGGATGGACAGAATTCTCCATCCTCCTGTCTCAGCTTTCCAAGAAGGAAGGGACTAAAGAAATGCATCACCATAGCCAATAAGAGAACAGATCTCTAATGTTTTCAGTCAGATCTGAAGTAACTTCTTAGTGCTTGATACACCTTATAATCTCATTACATAATCACCAAACATATCTTTTCTCAGGATGGCCACTTTGGCATCTCCAATGTTGCTTTAAATCCAGTTAAGGATGCCGTTTCTTGAGCCCTTGAGTATTTACAGACCCTATCATGGATGTCATGGTCACCTCTATGCTGTGACCATGGGTGGAAATATAGATTTCATGCTGGGTCCTCTATCATTCAATTCGTCCTGACTTAGTATCTTCCTCTCTAACCTCTTTCTCTGCTTAGCTCAGAGAAGAGCCAAAAGCTGACTCGGCAGCCTGGAAATCCAGACAGGAGCTCCTATCCGCCACTTCCACTCAATCTGTGGGCAGCTTGCATTGGTCCTCCTTTGTCAATGTCCCCTGAGACCACCACCTCTGTGTACTTGTGTGAGTCCTGCTGCCTTACTTTCAGTCCTCCCCCTCTTCAGATGGACTAACAGTCGCTATCCTGGACCCTCAGCCTCCATCCCACTCCCTTCTGCCTTCAAGAGGCCAAGGTATCTTTTTACAGCATCTTTCATCAAGCTACTGCTTGCTCTTGTCTACTGGCTCTCACTGCCTAGAGGGGAAAGTACACATCCCAGGGTCCTCTTCCTTAGGCTCTCAGCTTTCAACACCAGGTTTACTCTCACATCCACTCAGCCTACTCTCATGCATCTAAAGGGGCTTTGCTGTGGGCCTGGTCACTTACTACATGGCTTCATTCAGATGCCTGGCAAATGAGCTAAGAATAACATTCCTCACTTAGACTTTCAAAGTATTAAGTGGTTTGTTTGTTTTGTTGTATTCTTTGCTTGTTGTTTGATTTTTCAAGACAGGGTTTCTCTGTGCAGCTTTGGATGTCCTGAAACTAGCTCTATAGACAAGGCTGGCCTCAAACTCACAGAGATCCACCTGCCTCTGCCTCCCAAGTGCTGGAAATAAAGGTGTGCACCACCATCTGGCCACCTCGTGTTATTTTAGCACCATTTTCATGTAGTTTTCTTATTTCCATTTAGTGCTGAACAGGGTCTGGGACTTTCCATCACCCTCATCACAACCCTCGTCACAGGACTCGGATTATTCAGTAGCACTTATACCTCTCTAATACCTCCATCTACTCACTATGTATTTCCGTGGAAATTTTGTTTTGTTCTTAAACAAGGTCTCATGTAGCTCAGGCTGGTCTCAAACTGATAACAGAATAAAGGATGGTCTTCAACACTTAACCCATCCATCTATACCTCTCAAACCTGCTTTACATGCAAATTTGAAAGTTGATCTAATCAAATACAAAACAGAAAATAAATTCCTGCTTAGAAGAAAATTGTTCAACTATAAATTTGGTTTCATAAACAGAAATGACACAATGCTTAACATTGGAGTGCTGTAGATGAACATACCCCCAACATGGATTACAATTCAATACTGCATTTTACATTACTTTTACTAGATAAAGGTGAGAGAGAAAATGTTAACAATTTTGTAACACTTTAGGGTGGCGGTGGCGGTGGGGTGTCTACCTCTAAATCTAAAGTGTTTGGCCAAAACATGTTGCACAGATCGGAGTGAGTCAGCCCGCAGGCTCTCTGCTGCAGAAGCACAGACTGCAGCGCGTGCCGAGGAGTCTTTAAGTGGAGCTGCTCTGGGCAGGGTCAGCTGCCCAGCAGACTCTATCAGCTGCATGCCCTGAGTATAGAACTGTCTCTGAATACTGGCAAGCATCCCCCAGGGAAAGAAACCACTGGGCTCAATGGAACACATCCTTACCATGAATCCTTTCATTGTCCTGTAGTAGGAATCCAACAAAAGTGAACCGAGGGAACACACCTGGGAGGTCCTATCCCACCCATCCGAACAGTGCACCAGCACACTTGCATTTTCAACCACTATTGCCTGGGGGGAAATGACACATTTAGACTCTTGCAAAATTCCTTTTACATAAATCAGTAAGATTATGTACTAAAACCCACACTGGAAGATACACATCATAAAGAAGACCTGGCCCTCAATAACACAGTTGCCACAGCATAATTAAAACACACAACAAAAACAAAACAAGCAAACAAAAAATGTTGTTTGTAAGTAGGTGGGGATTGTAAGCCTCCATATTAGGTACCACTTCAAACTGAAGTGAACCTCATTAAAGAGGCAAAGAACAGAAAAAGTTGTCTGAACAAAATCAAGATTTACCTTGGCTAAGTCCATTCCTTCCCCAACCATTACAAACCTGAACCAATGAGAGATAGTTACTTTGGCTAAGAAGATTGCAGCATCCAAAACAGCCTTGATATGGCGAAGCCATCCTGAACTCTCCAAACCAGAGTAGAAATCGTTGACAGAAAGCCCCTTGCTGCCGTTCACTATGAAATGGAGAAGACTTGCAATTAGAACGGAGCTGGAGTGCCCACTCATCCTTGGGGAGTGAACTGGGGAAAATGCGTTTCAATTAAATATGCTATGAGAAGCTGAATAGTGCTCTGGGGGACGCTTCTTCTGTCCTTCCTTAGGCTTAAAAGAAATGTTGAATTGCCTTTTTAAAAAATAGCACAAATGTTTGAATTTTATATATATATATATATATCATCACATGATATATATATATCAATACATATGATATATATCATCATCATCATCATCATGAAGAGTGTAATGACCACTCAATGATCTCTAACAGCAGTGAGCATTAGAACTGCAGACAGAGCAGCTCCCACCCACAAGGTGCCTATGCTGAAGTGAGATATAAGACTAAAGGAATGACTGTTTTCTAAGACTGGGTGACACTACCACACTTCGCTGGCTGTGCTGTACATACCTGTAACCCCAGCACCTGAGAAGCTGAAGCAAGAGGATCAGCCCTTCTAGGCAAGCCCTGGCTGCAGAGGTAGTCTGAGTATACCTTAGATTCAGTGAGACTTTGTCTCAAAAAAGGTATGAATAAGCAACTTAG